AAAATCCCCCCAACTCTTCTTTTCCCACCGATGTGGGACAAACATTTCTGCCAAACTTAACAATACCATCTTCAGGACCGTCCAACGCAGCTATGTTAACAAGGGTAGCAACTGCCTCCATTGTTGTCGGAGGCTCTCTGATGATGTGAAGGCCACATGGCAGGAGACGAGACTCGATCTCCATAATTTTAGAGTACACTTTACCAGCCACAAGCTAAGGTCTCTTTGGCTGATATTTCCTTACCTTCTACTGAGTGTGTCTTGCTAGAACCAAGGGTCTATCGGAAACAACCTCTCTACCTTCACAAGATAGGGGTAAGGCTGCATACACACTATCCTCCCCAGACCCAACTTGTAAGATTACACTGGGTATATTGTTGTTCCTTACCTTCTTCCGGAAGCTGGACATCCTTGCCGAGATTGCACTGTCTAGCAGTACCGATGATAAAGTTCACTATCTGAGGGCCGCGACCTGTGTCCTTAAGTGATTGGTACGACGAAATGAGCTCACTTAGCTGCTTAAGACCTTTGTAGAGTCCAGCATTATATGCTGAAAAAGATGTTGAAATAGTCATGTCAACAATTTATGGAACTTATGTACTAATGGAAGCTATCAGAATCCAAGTAATAGCTGAAGGGACTGTTATAAAAATCAAGATGTTTTTAATCTACAGATGAGTATTCTACCTATGGTCAAAAGTTATTCTCCACTTGTCTAAGAGAGGGTTCCATGTTAATCATATTTGCAAGTAGTTTTGACCATTATATTACCATTTCTACATTAAATCAATCATTAAAAGAACATACAAGCTAGATTAAAGCTATTGGTTAGCATTTCCTTGAGATGTTTGTAATTACCACAGGTGTACATGCTTCTACAATGTTAACCACATCATTTAAACACTTATCTCATAGATAACTGGAAGGGAAAAAAATTATTTTTAGCCTCCTAAACAGCTCTTCTTTTTCCAACCCAATATGTAAAGTGCAAGAAAGAAATAAAGGTCCCTTCGGGGATGGCCCAGTTGGTTTGGAGGGCGGGCATCCTACGGATGACCTTGGATCGATCTTCCTCAATGTTTTCTGGGTCGAGCATGTCGCATAGGGCTTGCCTAGTGCAGTTTACATTCCCTGTGTGGTTTGCAGGCTATTACACAGTAGGGGTTTACCCAATGCGCACAGAGTGCTCACTCGAAGAGCAGAGTGTTGAAGTTTGGCAAAATGCCAAAGTCCCACATTGGTTGGGAGTTAAGTTTGGGGGGGATTTTTCCCCTATAAAAGAAGGCCTAATGTTTAGGATTGAAACACACCTCTCATTTGCCTTCTCATCTGTTTAAGGCATTTGTATCTTCTCTCTTTAGTATTATTTCACTTGTATTTTTGGAGTGGAATAAAATATTGGTTGTGTCCGAGGAGTAGGCAAAATTAGCCGAACCTCGTAAATTCTGGTGTTCCCTTTATTATTGCTTTATTGTCTTATTTATTATTTGGTGGCTGTCATAATTTTTGGTATAGTAGTTGTGACTTATTCACACTCTATACATTTGGCTTCCGCAACACAGAGGCTGTAGCAGCTCCGGGTTTCCTTGGGGTTCCAAAAAAAAGACTACTTTGACAGTGACAATGCCCTGAGTATTTTCTGGTACAATTCTGCCAACTTCTGGGGTTGTGTGTGTGAATAATCCCATGGCCAATAGCAGCACATCGGAATTTCTTGGATGATTTTGAGTAAGTTGGATTGATTTTCTTGGAAAGAAATGTATGAAGAAAGTAATGTTTATTGAGAAATGGATGAAAGTTGTTCTACTTTTGGTTTTGGTAATGTAATTAATTGGTAATGAAACCAAAGAAGAAGCCATAATAGGGAAAATCACAAAATCACACTCTCTTGTTTCTTGATGTCACAGAGAGAATGCAAAAAAGAATATCCACACAAACTGAGGGAAAAAAAAAAAAGAAAAAACTTTATCAAAATGTGGTTATGAAATTTTGCACGTCCTATACTACAGAATGTGTTTGTAAAAGATTATTCAACTTCCCTGTCCTCTTATTCTTCTTTCTCTAGTGAATTCAAAGGTTTCGAGTTTATATTTATGTATGGAGATAGAGACTGTATTTTGAAGAGGGAAATTTATGAAAAATATTGGTTTTCTCAGTTGGTGTAGAGACAGAATAACACTTGGCAACAGGAGGATATATTTTATATATAAACTAATCGTTACAACTTACGATGTCACTATTCTCCTCATTAACTGATTGGAAGAATCATTAACATAATAGTTAAATACAAAAGAAAGTGATGAAATAAAATGTAAAAGAACAGTATTAGCCCAACGTGTACACGTCGGCCTTATATATGCTATCTGTTGGGGCCATCAATTTGATGAAGTTTCTTGGTTTCTTATTGGCTGATTTGATCCTAGAGCAATGAAATGGCCAAATGGGAAAATGAGAAATTAGGAGTGTGTCATGTGGATCATGAAGAGTGAGATTGAAAAGCTTTTTTCTTTTTTGAATGTAGTTCTTTTTGTGTCTGTGAAAAGGAGTTGATATTTTTTCATGTGAATATTAATGGGTCCAGTTAAATCAACATAGACAAGATGACAAGAAAAGAAAATAAAAGAAAGAATACAAACAAGCTATCTGCTTATGGTGAATCACTTAAACTTTAACTGGCAAATGTTTACATTAAGCATGTGGCAATAACATGGGTAACTTCTTGAAGCTGGTCAATTATTTACACCATTAACAAATCAAATTTTAACGCAGTGTAAAATGAAAATCTGAAATGACTTGGAAGCTGTCACTTTGTAATCTTTCTTTTCTTTTTCTTGCCAATTCTGTAACATAGTCCACTGAAATTATTGTAATTGACAATAATTTTTTTTGATTGATATGTAACTGACAATAATTCTTTCTTTAAATTTCACAATATAAATGCAAAATTAGTTATAGTTGAGAATGTTAACCCACAACACAGGCTGCAACTTCATCAAACTAAGCAACCTTTTAATTTCTTCAGAATCAACCAAATCAGACCAAAGTTCTGTGCAAATATTTAAAAATAAAAAAAGGAGTCCGGNGCAACACCAAGCCATGCACTATGACAACTAATTTTACTCCACAACAGCACTTGTAGTTAAACTTTAACTTCATAACTAACCCAAAGCCTAATTCTAACCATTGGATCCAAATGGTTGCCATCATAAACCTGGTGACTGAATTATCACTTGATCAGGGAAATGGTATAGCTATAACTCGCGCTTGAGCCAAATGATATAAATGAAACAACTAAGAGAATTAACAAATAATTAATAAGCAATTCCCCACTAAATATTGGCTAATCAAAATTCCTGCAGCCAGGGCTACCAGAGCTACCTTTTCTAATGCATTTTTTCGATAAGTTCCAAGTGACCTCTATTATAAAATATTTGAGTACAGGCAGGCAATCCTAAAGTCAAAACCAGCTGCCTGTTGAATGCTATGGTGCAAGGAAATCCTCCTTCAGTCTACCTCCATATCCGAAATAGCTTCATTCAATACATTCTGAAGCTCTTTCACTCTACGTCTTGCCAGCGCAACACAATCCTGAAGACATAATGAGCATTTCTTGTAAAAAGTGGTCAAGATAGCATCTTTGAACTAATATTTACAGGAATATCTTAGAAACCATTTCAGATCATGCAGATCAATAAGGAACCATGGAATGAAAGTAAAAAAGTGTTTCCAAGATCAATTGCTAACTTAATGCAGATCAGGTATGTAATCTTTGTTAGTAAGTAATGGAACTTTTCTTTTGTTTAAGGGTTTAGGCAAGCATAAGGATTAAGACGCAACCTAACCTGGATAACTGATGTATGGGCAAGAACTGGTCCACCTGGCTTATAAAGTGAAACAAGCTGGTAATATGAATCCAATACCACAGTTACAACTGTTTCCATTATAGATTCTTCCTCTGCTGTAGGATCTGCTAAGATGTAGTTCTTGTGAAGTATGCATGTTAAGGAGAATGGTGGAGAGTTCAATTTCAGTTTTCTTTTCTCTTTATTGACAGGCTCCTTCTCCAATTTCCCTCTGACATTGTCCTCAGACACAAGAACTATTCGCCCATCATCATTCAAAGACACTACTGGAATGTTCACTGCAAGAAATCCAATTTCTATGTAAAATCCCATGATCATATAGCAATCAACTTTTCCAAATTAATCACGTACAGCTATAAATAACCTAAGTTGCTCGGACCGAGTGCGGGTGCCTGATGCAGGTATGGATCTAGAGGTCCGATCCTTCATGATCAAAATTTTAAGATTCGGGGGTATGGATCCAGGTACGGATACGGGTGCGGAGATTCGACTAAAATTAATTCAAATATCTAAAACTAGAGTTACAAAAATGTCTAAATAATGAGATATTATGTGGAAACTTACAAGGCACTCCGAGAAACGAGAAAATATTGATCAATAAGAGAATCCGAGTATATAACATAGAAATTTCTATATACAAGCCATTTCTTCAAATTCACACTAGCTTTTGTTTTGATTTCAAAAATTATAGCATGTCCCGAATTTCTCCCTCGATTTTGGTCAAAGTACCCAAAATCGGTTGACCAAATCCGATAGAGATCCCACACCCACACCAACGTCCTGCTGACACGGGTACGGCATCAAACTGAAGAGTTTGAGCAATTTAGAAAATAGCCCAGTGCGGACAATACTGAACAATTAAGAGGTAAAGCACCCACCGTTCACTTAAGGAATGTACACACAATACACCCAGATTCAATCAAGACAGTCCACCATCACACCTTGCGAACACATTTAACGTAGTGCAGTTGTACTCATGCATTCTTATCTTTCTAGTATACCCGTACTATTTGTATTGTCTTCCCTCAAGGTATAGTGAATAGAATTGAGTGTCCAAAAATATGCTATCTTCTACAAAGGAAAGGAAGAATATTTTGGAGAGACAATTTACACAACAGAGATCGCTGGGTCATCAAATGAGGAAGGATGGTAGCTTAATTAGGTGCTTCGAAACTTGTTTGGAGTGAAAATTTTGTGTTCTTCTATGTTGGAGCTTAATTTCTTGAGGCATAAGGGAAATGGAAGCACTATGGTCCTGAGCACTGTAATTGATCAACTATTTCAAACATCGGGAACCATTCCATGAAATTCACCTAACGCGTGCATTCTTCTTCATCCCTTCATCTCTTCTCACGAATGGTTTCCTAAATTAATTGCATGGTATTCCTCTAACAAACCGAAACTAAGTGGAAACGATTGCTCTTTTGATATATTGCTAAAACTAAGAACAGTTTGTCCTCTTTCTTCTTATTCTCTTCAAGACTGGCCTTCCTCAAGGTTTATTACATGACATACACAGGCCAGACTGTTGTAGAGATTGGACAGCTTTGCTCCGTTACCATACTTGATAATTGCTCTAATAACTTGTGCTGGACAGCTGGTCCTCTTTTTTCATGTTCTTTCTTCTTGATGAAGCTTGGATTTGCCGTTGTCTGTCGATAGTATAAAGTATTTTCTGCCTTTATCGCAGAAACCATCTTCTTTTCTTACCCTGTTTAACCTTTGATTTAAAATAATCTTATTTCCCATAGTGCATTTAACATGTGGTTCATTTCCAATCTCAAAACCAAAAACGGGATACAAAATACAAAATTGTTGTCTCTGACTGGACGAGTAATCATATAGGAATACTTTAAAAAAGAATCCAAGTGATAGCAAACTTACAATGCGAAAAGGCAGCAACTGCAGATAGTAATGCAGCATCAAACAGGGCACCATCAGCATCCAAACAGTATATGTCCTGTAAATATTATGTGCCCTAGGAATAAATATCAACAATTTGGCATACAATCTAAACGCATAGTTATTAGCATAAAATGAAGAAATATTAAGGTGGGGAAGATTTGAAGACCAAAGATGAATAACTAACAACCGTATAGTCCAAATCTACATGCTGAGAGACATCACAGCGGAGTTACTCTCCAATTAACTTACAATTATGGGACAAACTTTTCCTTTTTCTACAGAACATGAGAAAAATGCAAGAACACAAGAAAGATCTTCAGATTTGTTACCAGGTAAGCCATCCATGCAGCTTTTCCTCCAACCAAGCACAACTCTTTTAAGTCAATCATGCCAGAACTGCAAACATTTGAATTGCTTATTGAGGAGATTGTACAGGAATACTCATCAGAAAGTGAAGAAAACACAAATATTAAAAAGATAAAACAAGAGCAAGAGCAGAGCTACAATATGAAGCTAACAATCAAAGCATCTCTCTCTTACGTCTAGTTCTACCTTTAGAAAAACAATAGAAAATTTAGAGACTTCCTCAACATCAGAGATACTTCTTGGCATAAATATTTTCATCAGAGAAGTATTAACAGTTATGATTAAGTTCCAAACAGAGCGAATGGATTCAGATCATTCATACGGCCGACCACCAACTAATGTGGGATTGGCATGGTTGATCGAACGGTGATTATGTTCCAAAATTCTCATAGGAGGAATCAGAAGAAGAATTCCCCTATTGTAACGTAAAGTTCTCCAGAGACTGCTTCTGGTTATCTGGCAATACCGTAGTAGTTGCCAGAGATAAGAAACCTTCACTCTTGTGACGTAAATTTCTTTCAGAAAATTCTTCAGGTAACAATAGCTACTATTTATTTATCAATAAGTAGTATCGCCCAACCAAGATTAGAAAGAAACACGGACAAGATGCCTGAAGCAGGAGTATTTTTCCCATTTAGTTTGTTATGTTTGCTGCGAGATCATTAATTGTTTAGTTGGACCTTAAAATATAACCTATGTTGCTGTATTAGATTATCAGAGGTTCGGAGAATTGTAAAAACAAAGCAGTAACTACCATATGGCATGGTCATTATAAAAAACCTAACACAAAAGAATTAGATGATGACGAATATTAGACTCCACATTTTGGGCATCTGCAAGCTATTATTATATACCTGAAGATAGTGTCTGACAGCTGCTTCGAAATTACTTCTGCTGCCTCTGCAGGCCTACCAGGCCGAACCAGGGGAGAACAAATGGGAGGCATGTGAAATTCGATAGCTGTATTCACAATATAAATCGTATCTATATCAAGAAAATATATGGGTAAAAGAATAATAAGAGCTGAGAAATGAGAGGTTTTTTTTATACCTATGGATCCCTCATCTGGACATTCCACTGTCGGTGTCATGACTTCCATTTTGATGGCAGCCAGCATTGTCTGCGATTGCAAGATAACCAATCAACTTAGAAGCATTTTGAGTGGAAAAATGGAAGCTCCTATAGAGCGACTAAGAAGCCAATGATACAAAGGATACACTTACAGTGGATCCAATCTTTGCTAGTGCTGATCCATCAGCAGAGGCAACGGCACCTGCAGTGAAACTACAGATTTAAGTTTGGACAACTCCTGAAAAAAAAAATATAATTAAACTGATCAGTTGAAATGATGATTAGTCAAACCAAGTGCAAGTGTTGTATCTCTAGCACTTCCAAGCTTTCGGGCATCAGGTCGGACAGATTTAAGAAGATGATATTCATGATAGCGCAAAGGGAAGAGGCGTCTAAATGCATCCACCTCCATCTCTGAAGACAAGTCACTTGAGCCATTGACAGCAGCCATTCTGTAGAAATCAGATGTCTTTGCAATCAATCTTACCAACCAGTGATTATCCAACCATCTGAATGCAAGAAAATCACAAATTCAAAGAAAATGTATAACCCTAGTATCCTTCTATTCAGTGAGAACACTCCTTTTGAACTTCAAAAATTAAAATAAAACAAGAAAGACATGCAGAAATCATCAATTATAAACAAAATGGGAAAGAGGAAGTAATGCAAAATCCTCAAACCAACCACGCGAATTTATATTAATTCTTATGTTGCCTGCAGTTGATTTTTTTTTCTGGTTTCCCCATAGGAAAATCAAGGGAAAAAAAGGTTACACAACTTAGTAATCCCTTTTACAACTCGATGGACAATTATTTGTTTGGGGCTATTTCGGCTATCAGATTCAGAGCTTAATCTAAAATAACTAAAACCCAAGCCACGTCATACAATAATTACACATTTAGTAACACAATAAATACATATATATTCTTGACAAATTTGAAGTTTGAAATATATGGATGTATAAGATATTAACAGGCTATTAATGGCAAAATAATAAAAGAGATCTTTCATGCCAATGACAAGAATCATTAGATCATTATCCTGCCATAACAGAAACAATTGATTAATCCAATTTTAGTAACAAAAACGATATAATTGGACCCGATAGATATATTCATATAGCCATATTATACATAAACATCAGTAACACAAAATATTTCCTCATTCTACGTCGGATTGTAATCATGTTCCCTTTTAGTCTTCTTAAAATTCAGGACATTCATCTTTCAGGTCCAACCTTAGATACGTGTCCAAATTCATTTCTGAGTTGCTAGGCTAAGATACATGCAGTTTATGGCACATGCTTATTAATTTTCAGACGAAAAATACTTTAAAAAGAAGACTATGTATTTTCCAACTAACGTAATCAAACACACTTATCAAGTTGGCAGACTTAACTTCTACAGGCGCCTGATATGTATAGGCGATTCAAGCACAGACAAAAGAGAAGCCTTTCCGTAAATAATATAAATCGTTCATATAGGCGCCTCTTGTAGTTGGGAATTGGGAAAAAGTTTATTGATTGGCAGGTGCATAAAGCAATGGCAACATAGGGCTAAAGCATAAGAATTTCCATTAAAAGGTTCGATTTCAGCAAATACACATAAATTGATTGGCAGGTGCATAAAGCAATGGCAACATAGGGCTAAAGCATATGAATTTTCATTATAAAGTTCGAAGATTTCAGCAAATACACATATATACTTGACTTCTGCAGCAGCAAAAAAGAAAAAAACAGCACCACTTTTGGCGAGAAAGATAAAAATTTCGGAATAATGGGACAATAAACTAAAAATTATAGAAACAAAGTACTAATAATAATGAGAGAAAAAGAATAATAGAGTGGAGAAGAAACAGAGAGAGGCTGAAAGGTACATAGAAAGTAATGGAAATACAGGGAAAGCAAATCAATTTCAGCAAAAATTTTGAAAATTTAAGCGAATGTATACATACATAATTAACTTCTGAAGCCCAAAAAAAGAAGAAGCATCCTTCAGAAAGAAAACAAAACTTTCGACAAATGGGAGAATAAACCAACAAACATAGGAAACAAAAAGGGGAAAAGAAATAGAAAAAGAATCACAAAAAAGGAAGGCGTACCCAAGACACTATGCTGGGTTGCGCAAGGAGGGGCAGGGAATGGTGGCGAGTGGAGTGAGTAGACCTAACTATGTTTAGCTGAGCCCAGTAGTGGCGTGCGGCTTTGTTGTAAAAATTGCACCGGCCTGCTGTTTTGTTGTTCATTTAACTTATACCCATTTTTTTATAAAGTTTTAATTTGTACCCACTTTTTGAACAACTTAAGTCTCATTTCTCCTCCTTCATTTTCTTCTTCTTCTTTCTTCTACTGTTGTTGGTACTGCTATGAATATACAGTAATACAGATATATGTTGAATCCTGATGACTCGTATATCAAGTTGACGAGGGTTTTATGAAGCTTCTCGCTCTCTCTTTCTTCTTCTTTTTGCTTTCTGTATTGTGTCTTTCCCTTTATGAGTTGCTCATCCTTTATTTGTTTTTACAATATAGCTTCTGCACTAGTAGGGTACAGACATCATAATAATCCTGTGTTAAGAAAATTGAACCATGAGTTACTAGTGTTTCAATCTGGCTAGTATGTTAGAAAGTTTTTTCAAAAATTTCAGCTTATATAGTATTGAAATTTTTACAAATGAACTAAATAACTTCAGCATCTCTGCTGAAGTTTTTGAAAAAACTTATCCATGACAAAAAAAACTTCAACTTATTTAGTGCTGAAGTTTTTATAAATGAACTAAATAATTTCAGCATCTTCTGCTGAAGTTTTTGAAAAAACTTATCCATGACAAAAAAAACTTCAACTTATTTAGTGCTGAAGTTTTTATAAATGAACTAAATAATTTCAGCATCTTCTGCTGAAGTTTTTGAAAAAACTTAATGACAAAACCAATTAATCCAGGACAAAAAACTTCAGCTTATTTAATGCAATTACAAACAAAAATTTCAGCAAATAGAGAACAAAACTTCAGCTGTTATGCTTAAGTTCAGCAATTACAAACAAAAACTTCAACAAATAGAGAACAAAACATCAGCTACTATGCTTAAGTTCAGCAATTACAAACAAAAACTTCAGCGCACTTGGTTTAGCACACTTGCTACTTCAGGCCCGTCTACTAGAATGCTGAAGTTTTGTGTGATTGCCTTTGCTACTTCAGCCCCGTATGCTAAAGTTACGCGAAAAGCGGGTACGCTTGCAGTCTTTTTTTCCAAAGCGAACACAAGTTAAAACGTGACCCACAAAGCGGGTATAGATGCAAATCCCCCAGCTTTGTTATATTGTCGTCTCTAAACTAAACTTAGCAGTGTAATAGTGCCTCAGTTTCGATTTATGTGAATCTGTTTGATCGGGCACTGACTTTAAGAAAAAAAAAAGATTTTCGGTATTTGTGGTCCTAAACAAGTCAAAAAGGAGTTCAGAGTATTTGTGTGGTTATAAAAGCTTCTCATTAAGGGTAAAATTGTAAATTTAAGCTAAATTATTATCAAATTTAGAAAGAGGACATTTTTTTTTTGAACGGACAAAAAAAGAAATAGAGTCCGAAACAGAGATAGTAATGAATTAAGTTATAGTTTCCGGCGAGAATAAGTCATCCTCCTTCTAGGTGCAATTACATTTATGCCCTTAGGTTTTATTATTACTTAGGCCCATTTATGTAAATTTAATTTGTTCTTAGGCGGTGGTCGATCAGCCTAATCGTTTAACGAGTATTAGCATGGTGGAACTTGGCCACAGGTAGAAATGTACTTCTCTGATGACGGACAACTATGATAAATATCAGACTGCTATCTGGAAACTCAAAAAAGAAGCGATCGAGGCTGGTAAATTGTGCAACTGAACTACTGTAGTCGATTTTGACGGTAATTTATTTTTTCGTCCCGAAATTATTCAGCTTTGAGTATCTTCTTGGGTTTCAGATGCCATATTTTTTACTCCGGTTTTGATTATATAAATTGGCATAATTTCAAAAAAAACTAAGGCAAATTGCGTAATTTTACTTTTTTCCCCCTCTCTTTTGGTGATTTAGGGCCTTTCAGAAAGTTAGCATTTTTGCTTATGATGTGTTTTCATTAACCAACATGTAATTCTCCAAATTTCATGTAAGGACCTTTTATGGTCAAAAGAATGATAGTTTCTTAAAGAGATTTGCAAATTTCTTTGATTTTAATCATTATTCAAAAATAATTGCAGTGGTGCCTATTGCATTTGCAATTTGATTTGTTTCCATCGGCTGAAAAGAAGATTGATTGTGTTTTTCTTTTTGTGCCTGCTCTGGGAGGTCGAGAGGTGCTTTCACTATGATGTTCAATCATAGTCATTAGACACGTGACTAACATCATTAAATATTAGTATGACCAACTGAAGATTTCCAATTAGATATGGGCAATTTGGAAGAAAGTGTGACTGTTGTGGTGCTCAGCCAGAAGAGAACTTCCCAGCTCTATGGGAATTAAATTCAGAGGAGCACTATACTTTTGGGAGGCGTGGTTAAGTCTAGCTGCAGAAAATCTAGGTATGCAAGATCTTTTATGAGCACTATACTTGTTCTAGCTTGTAAATTTTAATCAATAAAATGTAAAGGAAAATGGTCAATAAAACTCTAACATTGTCTTGCCTAGCGAGTGATGTTAGGCGCCATCACGGTCCCGACGGTGGGAATTCTGGGTCATGACAATTATTTTTGCTATAACATTTTATTAGTACAATTGACCATGGGATTGAAATGCCCCCAAAAAAGAAGTAGTAAGATTTTGTTGTTCGTTGTTTTAAGTCTCAAAGAAGATATGGATCCAATTAGATCGTATAAATAAAAAGGAAAAAGAATCATATTCCTTGCTTAATACTGGATCATATTGAAAATAGATACTGATTGGTGATTGAGCTCTTTGTCGTACCCAAATGGATATTAAAATAGAAGAAGGTTAATACTGTTACGGTACTCAGCCAGAAGAGGATTTGCCAGCTTTATGGGAAATGAACTCAAGCCAGCAATATACTTTTGGGAAGTTTAGCTCCAGAAAACTCGAGGTACACATGATCTTTTATGAGTATAATATCTATTGCCTCCACTATAGATGTTTTGTTTGTAGTAGAAAATTTTAATAATTAAACTTTTTTGTTATTGAAATGTTTATATTACTGGTGTTAGTAATTTCTTAGACATACCATTATACTATGTTTTTTGAGGTGGACTATTTTTATGAGTATAGAGATGAAAGGAAGATGCAAAATCTCTTTATAAAAAGGAGAACCTGTAGGGTTCTGTTATTGTTTTTTTGGTTCTGTGGGATAGACCAGAGAAATAGAAGTACAGATAAGTTTACAAGTTGCTCCAAATATTTTATTGGTTTCTTCAACTTGTGTGCGAAGTCTTGAAAACCAACTCAAATTTTGGATGGGCAAAGACAGGAAGGTATAGATTCAGCTTGGGACATCAAGATCTCTGTCTTGTTCCTCTTTATTTCATATTATTTTTTACTGTTTGAAGGTCAAAACTTTGTCGAATAAACATTTTAATATCATAAAATTTATGCTAATCCGCAAGGATTTCGCTGTTTTTATGTTCATCTCTCACTGTAAGCCTGGCTTGTAACCATCTCAGTGATATGAAGGTCAAATACAGTTACCGATATATGTTCCCACTGCAAAATTTTGAAAAAGAAATAGAGAATGTACTTCCTTTTAACCATCTCAATGATATGAAGGTGAAAGACAATTCCATTATATGTGCCCACCGTGAAATTAAAAAATGGAGAATGTACTTCCCATAGCTGCTTAGTGTTTCAAGTTTAATTTACTCTTCAGATAGAGTATCCAAAAAAAGAAAGATACTTTTGCTATATGCCAGACAATTGCATGTTAATATTTTCTCTAGGAGTTGTTCGCAAAGCAGTCGTTCAATGTGCATGTTATTTGTTAAAAGGTCACAATAACTATAGAAGGAAACATAGGCTGAGGTGCAGGGATATTGAACAGGCTGAAGACATATTGGCAAATAAATTGAGAACAGAACCACAGTAGAGATAATAATAGATTATTCTAAGAGGAAAATGAAGTATTAAACATAAAAAAGATAGGTAAAGAATGTGCCATACAGTGACTACTATCGGTAAATGGACAATTCGGCTTTGTTGGTATAGTTAGACGTGAATTTTGATGTTGCAGTTAATGTAATTTGAAAGTGTATGATCGTCTTCACCTATGTTAAGTGGTCCGGCAATGATTAAGGCATGATTTGGCAGCCACTTATCCTTCCAGTTTATTAAGTGGCACTTATTTTTATTACTTGATGGTTTGGATCTGATCGATAGCATTCTCTCTTGTTGGAGGTTTGCTATTCAAATGACATCTCAGTAAGCCATTTTTCTACTTTCAAATGGGAATTTGGATGGAGTATTATTGATTCATATTCCTGACTCTTAGCATATTTTATTAAGCCATTTCATTATTACTGTTTAGTTGACTTTTTCTTTTTCAATTGACAATTTATTTTAGTATTTAACTCATTTGTTGTTTAGTTAGTTTATAACTCTTTTGTTACACAAGCAAGCAATTTATATTTGCTAAATTGTTTAATGTATTAAATAAATCTTTATTAAAATATTGTTTGTAAAATTCAACAAAATTGTGAACTCTATTATAGCAGATAACTTGTTAAATTAAATAGATGTTGAACTTTTACCAAGCCATTCAAGAAAAAAATACAATTTCAAAATGACGTCGTTGTAAGGCGTTGTTATGAACAGGAAAACAAGTTGGTTAGGTGAGTCTGTTGCCATTCTTATACTCTGTGATTTTTTTAGTAATGTTTCTCTTTCTGGTAGTCCTTAAATTTGGCCTTTGCCAGAAAGTATTGGCAGAACGATAGATTTTCAAAACTATGCGAGGCAAGGGTTCTTGGTCAGTAAAATGCAAATTTGGACAGCAATATGCCTTTTTTACAAGTGGTTGGACGAAGAAAATCACCTAAAAGTAGGTAATGTTTGTGCTTTCGAATATATTAAGAACCCCTCTTCTGTCAGACTAAAAGTCTCTCGTTTCCGGGGAGAAGATATTTCGTCTCACAGGCCATTAACTAAAGTTTCGATGGCGCCATTTTATATGGGTCCCTGCTCACGATGGTAAGCTATCAAACTATGTGGGATGTCTTTTACTCTGTTGCCTTTTTTTCCTTCCATTAATGGTGATGATTTTTCTCTTTTTGGCAGTGCATAAGGTTGACCTTCGCCGAGGACTATTTGTAGGACGGTAGCTATTTAAGACTACACGTTTCAGGTAAGGGATCCTGGAGAGTAAATGGGGTTGCACTTGTGTCTCTGGCCCTGTTTGGTGCTTTTGAGAGTCGGGCTGCAACTTCAACCATCGATATCTTGAACCCCAAGGTCTTCACTGGTTTGATTGTTGGTGCCATGCTTCCCTACTAGTTCTCTGCCATGACCATGAAAAGAGTTCTTTATTTTTAAATGAATATTCTTGGTTCTTATAGATTAGTGGTCAAGAGACTATTAATGATTCAATAGATCTTTCTATTGAAGTTGTTTAGATAGTTGATGATGTGTTTGTGTTTGGTTGTTCTTGTGTAATAGGCTTTCAAATGTAATACTCCCTATGTGAATCCATTTGATTGAGCACGGAGTTTAAGAAAAGAGAGAAAACTTTTAAATTTGTGGCGCAAAATGAGGCACATATATTTTGTGTGGCTATAAATCATTCATAAATTTAAATTATTTCTAAATAAGGAAAGGGATCATTTTTTTTTTACACAAACTAAAAAGGAAATATGTTCACATAAATTAAAATGGAGTGAATATTAAATAGAAGTCTTTTTTTTTTTAACTATTAAAACAATTTCTATCTTGCGCTTTGGTAACATATTTTGTTTACATATTAAATTTATATCACAGCCCATATTTCGTGTAGAAAAGGCCTACAATTTGAAATTCTCACAAGATCTCTTCACCGAGCTAATAGTGTAAAAATTGCACGGGACGCCCTATTTGGTCGCCTCCATTTAACATATACTCATTTTTTTTAAAACTTTGAACTTATACCCACTTTTTAAATAACTCCAGTCCCAATACAGTTAAAGTTTTGGCAATCAGGCGCCCACCTGGAGAGCAAGGGAATACAATTCAAGTTGTGGCAACCAGGAGCTCACCTGGAGAGCAAGGGAATACATTTCAAGTTTTGGCGATCAGGCGCCCTCCTGGATAGCAAGGGAGTACAGTTCAAGTTTTGGCAATCAGGCGTCCACCTGGAGAGCAAGGGAATACAGTTAAAGTTTTGGCAATCAGGCAACCACCTGGAGTACAAGGAAATAAATTCAAGTTTCAAAGGAAGATAGCACAGGTTTCAAGGGAAAACAATTTAAAGTAACAAAGGGAATACAATTCAAGTTTTGGTAATCAGGCGCCCACCTGGAGAGCAAGGGAATGCAGTTCAAATGTTGGCAATCAGGCTCCACCTAGAGAATAAGGAACTTCACTTCAGAATGCAATTCAAGTCAGCAACAAAAGAAGCTCGCGGCAAGAATGCGAGTCAACAGTCAGAGATGATCAACAAAAGTTAGTCACAATCCAGAATAAAAAAAGAGAGAAAGGCAAGAAGTGAATCCAAATGCAGAAGTTGATGAAAGATGTGGGTTGCCCAAGACATGACTGGAGTCACAAGCATGGTATGTCCGGTTTTGATCCGAAAAGCTGAAGAAGAATGAACTAGCACCTGCAACTAGCAAGCGTCAAGGTTCAAATCCAAAGTCTGCATGAAGAACCATTCAAGACTCAAGATCAAACTTCAGAAGACTTATAGATATGAATTTTGTAATTCATAGTTGACAGGTTTAGTTAGTCTTTTTCATTTTGATGTAATAACAAGATCGCAGACCGGAACCTCGGCGGAACGACACCTCGACCGGCTCTCCACCTCGGTATACTCCATCATCTCACTCACTTCTGAACTACACGTGGCATGATTCCTTTATAGCCAAGGATATGTAGGCAGCTCAGATACGAGGGCTCGATCACATTCTCCTTCCTCTTAGTTTTTGGTCTCCTTAAATAAGGGTCGGGACAAAAAACCTGTCTAGTCATTCTTTGTCTGAAAACTCTTCGCGTTTCCAGTCAAAGAGGGGCAGCTGTAGACATGTGATTTTTGACCCTCCCCAAGATTTTTTATATTTTAGCATGTAATATTTAATTTAGGCCTAATATCGTTATTTCAACTAATTTTGAGTCTTTTACTTTATTTTATTACAAGAAAATAAAAATTACAAAAAAATAGTTTCATTAACGTTTTGTAGTCATTTTTAATCTTGAAAAATGCCAAAAATAGTTTTGTTTTAACGGTCAGTCTTATTTTAATAATTCTTTTACTTAAGTAGGATTAATTAATAAATGAGATCGTATTTTTAGTCTCGTTCGCGAGGAAAGAATAAAATTTGGACTTAAACGACCCACTTTTAAGCCTAATATTTGGACCTAACCCATAATTCTTAGGCCCATATCCCTTAACCTAAATATAACCCTAAAACCCTAAACCTATTAAAGGAAACTAACCTAAAACGCCTAAAATCTGAAAAAAGGAGCTGAAAAATACAGAAAAAAACAAATCCTAGACTTAGGGGCAAATCTGATCCACCGTTTTCAGCAGACAAAAATGACNAACCCTCACAAAAAAGGACTCATTACCACATTTCTTCTTCATGAAGAACACAAAAAAAACCCTAGAGAAAGGAGGAAGAACCAGCCGCTTCAGTTGTTTCCACGCACCACCACAACGCCGAACACCCCTCCGCCAACCATCCTCCATAGCTGCCAAGATTCATCGTCTTCTTCAACCAAAACGCAACAACCAGCGACGCTGTTCTGTCTAAACGACCACAGCCCCACCTCCGTTGGAATCTGGTAAACCAGCGGCCATGGTTTGAACCACCGGCGACCAACCCAACGACCACCCTTCGCCGCTGCTTTCTTCTTCACCCTCTCCAACACCAATAACCACAACACATAAAAACCTACTGAGAACTTCCTTCCAACACCCATCTTTGAAAATTGTCACCTCAAAACTGTCCCCATTTTTCGAGTTGAGTTCGTCGCAAGGTTCTGATTCGAGTCGAGGTTCGGGTGAGTTTGTTGACGTTGTATTCCTTTGCACGAGTTTCTCATATAATTACAGATCTAAAATTGTTTTATTTAAGGTTCATTTCTACTCTAAATCTTTAGTTTGCGCATATTTTTGTTCTGTTTAATGTGCTGACTTTTATATTGCTTGTTTCCATTTTAATTTATATGTGGTAAATTGTTCTTAGTTTGAGATCTTTAGCTTGTGATGATAAATAATTTAATTGATATAGTTTTGTTTCAAATTAGATTGGCTTAGAATTGAGTAAACGTTTATAATCTTTGATGTAAACCAGAACTTGCAAGATTAATAATGGGTTGTCTTACCATATCGGCTTTTAGATGAGATGATTGGGCCGTTTTAGGTTTTGGATTTGGATTGCTTGAGTTAATGGTTCATTTTAAAAAATTTGTTGCCAAGTTTTCTTGTTGGTTTGATTACTGCCAAGAATCTTGAAATATAAGTTTCATTTTTGTCAGCCCATTAAATATTAATAAATTGAACAATGACGGTCAATAACATACACAAATAAGAAATTCAAGGGAGCTTTGATTCTGGAGTGCTGCATATTTGTAGTGATTCCAAAATTTCATCTCAAAATGCGGCGAGGCCGTAGTATACAATTCCAAATGTGATTCTTTGCAATATAGTGGCCGAATACTGTTGTTCCACAATTTTAAATCCCTAATTCTTGGCCTCGCAATAATATCATAATTAGTTTTAGGAAAATCATGAACATCCGTAGATTGCTTTAATTAAGTACAAATTTTTTAAAATAAATTGAGGTGTGTCATACCAAACAAGACTCATAACTCATGGCCCTCATAAATAAGATTAAGAGCTAACATTTGTAGTTGCTATAGTTAAATACATTCTCTTTAAAAAGAAAAAGGTTTGAGGTGTGTCATCCATAAATTAGATCATCCATGGCCCTCACAAATATTGTAACTTAGATATTAAAAAATGAATTTCCGTAGTTGCTTTAGGCACGCTACATCAATTATCATGGTTACGAGTACGGTTCCCGTGATGTAGTTGTGATTTATAATTGCTAAAATTCGGGTGTACATTTCATGTGACCCGATTCTAATTTCCAACAAGGTTAAATAGAATGTGTCGTGAACCACGAGTGCATTTCATGTAGCGTGGCTTACGATATGTTTTAAATAACCTTGAAGTTTTCCCGAAATATTGAAAGCGGTTAAAAAGTTAAAAAATGTACAATAAGTTTAAAACGTGTAAAAATTAGATAATTAGGCCAATAATAATAGTTGAGTGATCGTGCTAAAATCACAAAATCCAGGAATGCCTAACACCTTCTCTCGGGTTAACAAAATTCCTTACCCGGATTTCTGTGTTCGCGGACCATAATTAGAGTCAAATTTTTCTCGATTCGGGATTCTAAACCGGTGACTTGGGACACCATAAATTATCCCAAGTGGCGACTCTGAATAAATAAATAAATCCTGTTTCGATTGTCACTTAAATTGAAAAAAACTCCCTTATACCCCTTCCGGGGTGGTAGAAAAAAAAGGTGTGACAATAGCAGCCTTCCAAAACGGGTTGAAGAGGAATGGGTCGAGGGCGACCAGGAAATTGGTAAGCAGACTTTTGAAATACCCTCCCACCACTTGGGAAGAAATTCATAACGCCTACTGCGCCAAGGTGCGAGCAGACGATGACGACCTTAACGTCCCAACCCAACGCTTGACGACGATCCAGTCAGAGCCAATGAAAGATCATCGTAACGACAGTCGAAGAGATCAACCAGGCCCACACCTCAACCGAGATAGACATCAACCTTACGTCAGAACAACTGTTCCACCATCCCCTCGACATACGGAAGGGACATCCAGGCTGCACACAGGGACTCAGCGAAACGAAAGCGGTATGCCTCCACTCTTATCCTGGGTAAAAACATCGGCCAACGTTCGGTGTTAGTATGGTATTCCTTATACTTGTAAGTCACCTTTTTAACGAGGGCCGTCCTCCGCCCTTCCCTCCATTCACGCTCAATCCCCATGATAAGAGTCTGATATGCAATAAAAAGAGTTAGTATAAGCGGATTACATGTAAGAAACATATCCTAACAATAAAAAGTAATTACTCGTAGGGCCATGCCAGATATACTCAGCGATAACTTAGCATCGGTCATCGCCTGTAGCGCCGTGTTCTCAGAAGCCGCACACAAGGGGCAAAGGACGGCACCGCCCATTCCGAGTTACCCAAAAGGTCATAATCCATGGGGATGATTACGTGGAGGTTGGGCCCCTGCGTCCTTACCTCCATGCGAGTGTTCCTCTCCAAGAAGGCCCACATTTCTTCAGGGTCGATGTTCGAACCAGAACCGTCGTCCTTCACAGGTACCGTTCCATCTCCCCCGGCCACCGACGACGCTCCACCTTCCACGGTCCTTACAGGCTCCCGCCTTCATGTACCTCCTCGGCCCTAGAAAACCTCCTCTTCATTACGGCATCCACCATAACAATGGCACTTACATCTGGTGCAAGTGCAGGTGCTGCTTCCGGAGCAATGAGTTCCTCC